ATTTAGAAGGAAAAAAAGAAAGAAAACAATAACTCACAAGTCATTCAAGCCCTTCAGATTTCTAATGAAATCAAGAGAAGAACTCCCATTGTATATATCTCCGATTCGCCTACACGATATACGAGCGTAATAAGCAATACATGTAGAAGAAAGACATACGTACATGCATGATATCTCTACTTACAAAGTAGTCAATGAAGTTAAATTGGCAAGACTGGATGGTATTGGTCCTTCAAAAGAGTTCCCTTGAAATCTCCTGCATAAACATTTGGCAGATTGATAAAAAAAAAATGGGCAAAAGTTATATCCTTCTGAGTCTTGAAGATTAACCAAGATGTTTTCATGACTTACAACTCTATAAGATTTGTCCAGTTATTGCCAATAAAGTCTGGTATTTTGCCTGTGATTGGACTGTCAGATGCCCACCTGAAATTGAACGTAGCTTACTGTTAATAAGGTAAGGTAGATAGATAAATTGCAGGACCATGAGAAAAAGGAAATGAAATGGAGACGAGGGTTTTTCTTACACTTTTTGCAGCTTATCAAGGTTAGCAAATGTTGGGGGAATCTCACCACCCAATCCAGAACTGTCAATATATCTGCCAAATCCATATTTTCATAGGGTAACCTGTAAACACAATCATGTACATCCCCTACAAACAACTAAAGAAAGAACTTACAGTTCTTCAAGGTTGACTAAATTGCCAAGTACTGGGGGCAATACTCCAGAGAAATTATTATTACCTATAGACCTGCATGACATTGATCCACATGATTATTTTGAAGAAACTTGAAAAAAACTTGAGTTTTTTTTTTCTTTCAATTCTTACAGCTTAGATAGCTGGTGAAGGTTTCCAAGCTCCTTTGGAACGGGTCCAGAGAAATTGTTGTGGGCGATTGACCTATACAAATGAATAATCCAAATATGAATTCCTTTTCCAGTATGTCTATCAAAAAATGAATTGCATTCATCAGCTCATCTTTGTTTACTCACAGCGACTCTAATCTGGACATATTTCCAATGAATGTTGGCAAGGGACCAGAGAAGTAGTTTTGATCAATATTCCTGCATTCACCCAGCAATATAAATAATTATAATCAGACACAGTTACTGAAAAAACCAACCTTTTTCCATAACTAAAAGAAAAACAAAATGTTGTAACTATTTTTGAAATCTCTTACAACAATGTCAGAAAAGGCAAATCCAAAAGCTCCCTTGGCATCCCTCCTTGTTTATTTAGAGCATATACCCTCCTGTTAAAAGTTTTTAAAACATGTAAAAAAATATCGATAGAAGACGAAAACGTATTACATACTATTGGAATAATCATACAGTCGAGTAATGTGGCAAACGGTGGCACTGTTGAAAGAACAGTCGCATGTGATAGCGGGGTTATTGAGAGGATCCTCGAACACAGAAACACTTTGGGTGAGAGCAGTTCCAGTGCATGGCTCTCCACTTGTGTTCCATGAATCTGCTGCTTGTGCATCCCATTGTTGGAAGATTGAGTTCAATGCCCTCACTGTTTCCCCATTCATTAACAATTGGTGAAGGAAAATTAATAATTATTACTTGTATAAGCTGTTTTTATTTAAGAACTATACAAAAGTAAGAAATAATAATAATGTTATTACTATTTACATTTGTTAAGGTTTCATCTAATTTCATCCCTAGTGACACAATCACAGGTGTGTTCGGTTCGTTTATGTTCATGAACAATATCGTTTATCTACTCTTTTATTTATGTTCATGAACAAACTTGCTTACATTTTCCCTTTTTAACATTTTAAATATTAGTAATAATAGTGACTAAATTGAACACATGATAAAAATTAAAATTTAAACCATGAATTTTAAAAAGTTTAAGCATTAAGGGTAAAACTAAAAATTGAATGTATAAACGAACGCTAAACAAACACTAAACAAACATTAAACGAACGTTAAACAAACGTTAAACAAACACTAAAGAAACATTAAACGAATATTTTCGTGAACATATAAACGAGAATGTTCACAAACATTAAGCGAACATGTTCGTAAACAATAAATAAATGAATAAGAAAATCTTCAAAAATAAATAAATAGACACAAACATAACATTATTCATTCAAATTCGATTCATTTACACCCCTACTATAATTTATGGTGCTCAAATATGAAATATCTAAAAATAATAACTATTCATTTAACGACATAGCTTAATTCCTACACATTTATTCAAAACGTAAACATCACGATTAAATGAAAATCCATATGTAAATTTATAATTTATAATCCTCTATATTCTGTAGTCAACTGTAAGCAGTCCTTCATGCGTTTCAACTTTCAACGTATTGACGAAATCTACAGTTAAAAATCAACAGGTCTAAAAAAATGTTTGACAATAGATATGATTGGGACATAACCTTTTTAAAGAATTGTTAATTTATGCTTTCAAAAGTTTCAACATCTTGATAAAATTTACAACATACCATTAAGAGTTAAAATTAACTATGAATTATTAATATATATATATATATATAAATAATATTCATGATTATATTTATAGAAAAATTAATTTATTGATAAAAAATATAAAAATAGTTTAATAATTAATAAGATGAGATACTTTTCTATTTTATTTAAAGATTATATAAAAATTATGTCCAAAAAGATTATATAAAAAGCAAGAATCGAGTGATTTCAGTGGTAAATGAATTATTGTGATTCTTTGAGGTCTCGGTTCGAGCACTTTGAATATCAGGGGTGTAAATGTTTAATGTCAAACAGTTGAGAGTTATCTTTAAAGAGATATTGTCTTATACTTACTTTAGATTAGAAATGATAACTTAGTAATTTCTAAGTAAGATGGTTGGCAAAATTTATAATAGTATATATTTTTTAATCTAATTGAAGAAGGTAGTCAATGGGCAGCCTTCAGGAGTTTCAAGATGTGTATCTACAAGAAGTTAAAGTCAACAAGTCTTAAAAAAATGTTTGACAATTGATTGGTGGGGACATAGTCTTTTAAAGAAGTGTCAATTGATGGTGTGATTATATTAAAGAATTGTCAATTTATGCTTTCAAACATATTGACAAAATTTACAACATGTTAAAATAGCATTGGATAGCCCATAGAAATCTCCAATATGAAATGATGTTTGATTGATATAAAATGTTACTTTTCATAAATTTAATTATTATGAATATTTTTTTTAATTTTACACCGATTTAATATCGTTGAATAAGTAAAAATAAATGATTGAGATTGATTCCTTATTTATTTTTTCCAGTAAATATTTTTATATTTCCTACTATCAATCTCAACCATCTATTTTCACTAATAGAGTTTTACATTGTATAACATAATCTTATATATGTTTAGATAGTTTTCTATATATAAATATTTCTAGTTATAATATGATGTTATATGTTTAACCACAATGAAATCAACCGGTACGAGATTATTTCAGCTTAACCAAAGTTTTATGTTCGAGTTTTTACAGTTCTTATAATTCTACCTAGATAGATAAGTATTAAACTCACCAGTTTTTTTATGTTGCTTTGGCTGATATATAAGTATAATTAATTAGAATTCAATGAGTGATTTCAATGGTAAAAGAGAACGTTGTTCTCTTTGGATGATACGGGATTAAACAACTATATATGTAAGGTATGTGTACGTTATCAATGGTTAAGAAAGATATTAAACATATATTACCTTACAATCATCCAAGATTATTTAAAAAATATAATTAATTATTAGTCCCACGCACGGTTTTATGCATAAGTATATGCTACATGCATATTTATCTTTAAGACAGAGAGAGGAGAGTACCTTCAGAAGGATCAGTGGTGGCATTCTGGGCATTAGTGGATTGTCTGCATGAAAATAAAAGTAGGAAGAACAAGCAGAGGAATGCGGACATTTTTATTTTTATCAACTTTACAAATGTTTCTCATCGCCCGCTTATATTAGCACCTTCTTGTACAATTGCAACTAGATTTTTTTTCTTCATCATCGTACCATAGACTGACACGTACAGATACCTCTCGTCTTATACTCTTAGTTCTTAGTCAATGAAAATAACTCGTGTATTAATGACCATGCCAACGCACCAACGTCATAGGTTACGTGACAATATGAAATGTCTAAAAACAAAGTATCTTAAAAATGATATTGTCATTCTTTAAGACCTCGGGTTTAGGCACCATAAGTATTAGAGGTGTGAACATTCAATGTTAAATGATCGAGATTTATCTTTGAATAGATATTATCTTGTGTTGAAAATATTACTGCAAAATAGAGATGTTAGCACTGACTGCAAAATTAAAAAAATAACAAAACAAGTCTAGGTAGCAAACGTATCGTAATGAACACTACCTTAAAAGTAAATTTGTCCCAATTAATATAATCGCTACAATGAATGACGCCTGAGATAAACACAATATTTTAAAAACTCATACGTCCGAAGCTTGGAAATGGACAAGGTGATAATGCTCTTTTCAAGAACAAACTGGAACATAGTAGAGAAATAGGAAGAAAACAATGGAGAGAAAATGATTTTTTAGATGATAAAAAATGTTGAGAAATGGTTGGTATTTATAGGCTGCTCTCCAAGCATAAAACGGGTAAGATGCCGTAAAACAGACTAGAATTTTGTAGTACTAAACGCTTATTGCAACTGATAATGTACACGATCCATGCTATAGAGAGAAGAAATCATCGTTATCAGAACGGATAAAGTAGAGATATACAAAATTTTATATTAAGAAAATTAAAATTATATAATTTTAGAAAGAATAAATTTATAAAATTTTAGAGGATAAAAGTTTATTATTAATAAAAATATAAAAAAAAATTAAAATTTTCAAATAAACGATTGTCCATGATGACAAGTGACAGCGTTAGCTGTGACATACCCTTCGATTCTTCAAATATCTTTTTGATATTTTGTCAACAATGGCTACAACACCTCAGAAACAACAGTCTATGTAACAAAAGCTAGTTTTAGGATTAAACACACATTTAACAGAATTCGGTACATCTAAAACATTACGGGTTCCTACTACAATAACTTTTTTTTTTGGATCAACACTGAACAATTATCATAAACTTCTAACAGGCACCAAACTTTGTGCAATCAAAACATAGATGACACTGGATTATGATAATAATCTTCCTTACAGCACACAGCACTCCGTTACCGCAGCTTCCTCCACAAAAAGGAACTTTCAGCTACAAATTTGGCTGTCGGAATCATCAATCATGTTTAACAGTCTTTCTTGGATTTGTCCATTGCTCTAGGAGCTGTATGACACATAAAATAGTGGTTAACAACACTAAAACGTCGTATTTCATCCAGTTACGCTTCAATAGGCAAAGTGAACGCCGGGGATACACTGCTTTCGTTCAATAGACCCCCGGAAATTGTATAATAGGAGTACAAATCATATGCATACACCCAGATCCCCACCAGAGTGTGACAGGCAAACAAATATATTGATGAATTTGATAGATTCTGCAGGAGTTCACTAAACATAAACTACTTACCTAATCCGATCGCATCAGTGCTCTTCATGATTTTCAACCTCTTGCATGTTTCAATGAACATCCTGCAACAATATCAAACTACAGTTAAGAAGTTGAAGGTGAGGAAATCTCAATCTATAAGTTTAAATTATGCAGCGCTTGTATACCACATTAATTTAAGTACTAGCAAATCCAGTCTAGAAGGATACATTCTGCTTATCCGATATAGGATTTACTGGAAAAGAAGCATTTGGGAAAATAAAAGGCAAATAGTAATTTTAAGTGAATGAAGCCTACTCCCATGGAACATCCCCGACCAGCATCCAGTCACCATCTTTATCTTCATATGTAAGCACATATTCTGATCCATGAAAAAGATCCTTCAACTTGCTCTCACTCAAGATTTCCTTCCCGGGAGCAGCATGAGCCCCACATTGACCTGAAATCGTAATAGAAATGCGGTAATCAGATCTATGTCAATAGTTGGAAGTTTTCTTTTACTTTTGCACATTGCTTTCATCTAGAAGGATTCAGCTCCATGTTACAAGGAAACGAGTGCAGCTTACCAAGGGTAAAACAGCTGAACATCTTCTCCAGAGAAGAAGACAGTTCCCGATAGGTCGAATACATTCTCAAATCAACCTTCCTCAGATAAGGAGCTCCGTCCATACTGACCTTGACAAAAAGGGCAGCAGGCCCTGGTTTTCCATCAACTTCGTCATTGTTCTTTGATGAAGTGGCCAGGGTTTTAGTCCTATATGATCTCACTGGAGGCCAACCAACAACCTGAGCCCTGTCAAGGATGGGATGTCATAAGAACAATGAAAAAGGTCAAGATATTCATATAATTCCCTTGATCTCATCAAAGATTAAGAATCCTCCCTGAAGCTAATTATACTTACTTAGCAGCGGGTGCACTGCTGCTGTTGTTAGAAACGCCCGTACGGTTAAGATTGGTTTTATTAGTGGCACAAGGTCGTTCTTGTATAGCATTTGCAGGCACATCTTTCTTTACGGATGCTTGAGGTACAGAGTATTTTCCATGTGACAGAGGTTGCGGAGATTGAGAGTCCAGACCGGCACCATGGAACATCCAATTTTTTTCGGTGTACATGGTGCCTTTTACCTCGGATAATCCATCCATGGTGTCGGAGAACCCCCTTTTGTGTCCGGCAGCAACACATTTCTGTGATGACGAGCAGATTCGATCTTTAGAAGGAAGTAAAGGAAACAATGTCTTCTCGTCGAGTTTCCCCGAGTTCAGCAAGCAAAGCTCGGTTTTTCTCTCAGGGGACTGGGATCCTGGAAGACCAAGCCTCAGTTCGGTAGCCTTCAGATTCAGATTATTCTTGTTATACTCTGATAAGCCGGTGACACTAGAGCTGTCAACCGAAGAAAAAACCGATAATCCATGATAATTCCACTCCTTTATCTCCAAGCCATTTGGGGGGAGACAGTCAACAGGTGGAGAAGAAACACTACTCTGCCCTTCCTCCTCCACACCGAGCAGTGGCGGAGACATCTGAACTCAAATCTTCTCAAAACTTTCCACTTTAAACTACATAGAAAAACAAAATAGATATCACTTCTGTAAACCTCGAGAATAATCTTTGAGAGCACAAGATTAAAACCACCATAAATTATAAGTCAAAATCTATTACAAGGATATCTAAACTAAACAATCAAAAAGTAATAATTATCGTCAGTTCCAGGTGAAAATCCACCCATGCATCAGCTGTTTCAGAACCCAATAACATCATCCATGAAACCCACTTGAACCCATTTTTTTCAAACAACTTCAGCTTAACATAATTGATCAACGTGTCATTTTATTGCTTTCAAGGGTAAAGCCCTCACTTTCTAAAGCTGAAAGTAATGTGGATAACCTTCATTAATGCAAACTAACATTATATAACTAAATTACACACCAAAAAATGAGTCCAATTTTTACACACAAAAAATCTTACCAAATAGAATAGATCCTAAAGTAGGAGGGGGGATAAAACGTGAACCACAAATTTTGTTTAGCTTCAAAAAAATTAATAAGATCATAAAAAGTCAACTGTCTAGTGCATTAAACCGTTTAAGAACAGTTCCGTTTTTCGGTGAATAATGAGCAGACCGAAGAAGAGAAAAGGAAGCCAAACATGAAAAGATAATAATCTTTTCCCCCTTCCATTTTCTTCTGTTTTACGGGCAACCAAACAGAAGGGGTAGATAAAATCACAGCAAAAATGAAACGGAGATCTTAATGTTGATCTCAAGCAAAGCTGAAAAATACAAAGAAAAATAACAGACAAAAAATGCACATCTATATATATATTAAAAAAAAAGCTTACAGAGTAAAACTGGGTAGAGTTGTATATTAGACAAAGAGAAGAAGATGGATTACTGCTTTCAAAAATTGCAGGCGAAAATGCACGAACTGCAGCGTAAAATAAAAGCAGAGAGAGAAACATAGATAATAAGCCTAAGACCCTTCTCCCATTATCTGCAGAAAGCAACAATAGCCATTAAAGAAACTAAAGAAGCCCTCCCAATAAAATAAAAATAAAAAGGAAGGGGCAAAAGCGAAAATAAACACAAGAATGGGGCCAGGTTGGTTTTTATACTGCGCCAACTGGGGCGGGAAGGGAATCTGATCGGACGGTTGATATTGGTTTGGCTATGGAGCGATCTGGACCGTTGGATTCTTCCCAAAAGAATTTATAAATGTAAATGTGTCGCTATTCCAGGTAGCATTTCTAGTAAACCTGGCTTTGATTGGTTGTTGCTTTCTAGTTCAGTATCTGGGTTTTGAAGTCGTGAAGTGTCGAATTCACCCTTAAATATATCCTATTATATTACACAGTTAAACGAAATGTCACATGAGAGACTTGGAATATTTTTTTATATTTAATTTAAATATAAACTTACAGCACTTCAACCACTACACCAACACCCACGTTTGCTTACAAACTTACAGCAATCACTATTTATGTTATATTATAAATAATAACAGAAAATGAAAACAAAAGTAATAATAAAACGACTCAAGCCTAAGTTTATTAGGAATATAAAAACATCTAAATCATTAAAGAAAATCTATTTTTTTAATTATAATTGAATACATTATATATATATATATATTTAAAATTGTAATCAATATAATATTTAAAATAAATAAATAAATTTAATATTTTTAAACTAAAATAATTCAATATTTTTAAATATATTTTTCCAGAAAGTGGAGGTAAAAATATATTAAATTTAGTTTAAAAATATTAAACTTATTGTTATTATTTTAAATATTATATTGAAATTATTTTAGTTTAAAATATAAAACTTAGTTTTATTTTAAATATTATATTGGTTTAAAAATATTAAATTTATTTTTAAACTAAATTTAATATATTTTTTCCTCCACTTTCTCTACTGGAAAAATATATTTTAGAAATATTATATTGAACTTATTTTAGTTTAAAAATATTATATTTATTTACTTATTTTAAATATTATATTGATTACAATTTTAAATATATATAAAATGTATTCAATTATAATTTAAAAATTAGAGATTTTTAATGATTTAGATGTTCTTATATCCCTAATAAACTTAGGCTTGAGTCGTTTTATTATTACTTTTATTTTCATTTTCTGCCATTACTTATAATATAAAATAAATAGTGATTGCTGTAAGTTTATAAGCAAACGCGGGTGTTGGAGAAAAATATTTAAATTAAATATAAAAAAGTCTTTCAATTGTCTCGTGACACATGTTGTCATACTATTGGTGGATTAATATTAAATTAATCTAAAATTATGATAAAATTAATAAAATACATAAATAATAAAGACTAAATGTTTAATTATACAAACTATTTTAACTGTCATGTCAACACAATCGTTAACCACTTAACGGTAAGTGGTATGATTTGATGTATTTAAATAGTTGAGTATTCTCGTTGATAAGAATTCAAAAATAATAGTCAAAATAAAAATGGGTTATAGTTAGGTGGTTATCTATACAGTTTACCACCTATTATTTTACATAAAGGTTAAAGTATACGAATGATCTTTTATTATAGTACATTATTTTATCGAATCTCATTATTATTAAATGTTACAAAATGATTCTCTAACTATAAAGTATCGTTTTATTGAGTTTTTTTGACTATTAAAAACTATAAAATAATCATTCAACTATGCGTATATTCTAGACTCGTCATTTTCAATTAAAATTTTGTGATTTTTTTAGTTGGACGTTAACATGCTCATTAAAATATGATAAAATATTATCCTATAACCGTTTCGAACTATATTTTGTAGATCGACTCTTCATTTACATTATATTGTCAAGTCATTACTTGAAACATTATGTCATCGAGTCAATGTTTGAAAGGAAATACGGTGTCAATAAATATCATTAAAATATAATTTTATCATATCTCGATTAGTAGGTTAATATCCAATTTAGACGACCGTTAATTTTTTAACGAAAAAAAGACGAGTTTAGAAGATATAAATAGTCAAATGATCATTTTGTAACTTTTAATGGTCGAATGACTCAACAAATAATATTCTATAATCAGAAGACTATTTTATAACTTTTAATAATCATAATTTCAACAAAACAATTTCATATAGTTGAAGGACCATTCATATACTTTATAGCTTTATACATAAAATACACCTTGAATGGAATCTAGGGATGGTCAAGTGTCCAAAATGCACTTTTTTTAATCATCTAAATTTAAATCTGTTTATAATTTGTAAATTATTTAATTTTTCAGTTTTAAAATATTATTATTTAAATTTAAATAAAAAATGAATATTATTCTTTATATATATATATTTAAATCTATAAAAAATATAGTTTAAGTTCTTAATCGTATTTCAAGTATTCGCATCCACACACAGACTGAAATATAAATAAATTAAAAAATCATTATAAAATAAAAAAATTCAAACAACAATTCTAAATCATATATAATATATTAAACATAACAATTAAAAACATATAAAATATTATACCATCAAACTCAGTTAGATAAGACACTAAATTATTCAAATAAAGACAATATATATTTCGAATCTTTTTTATTAATTAAAAACGTACGTACACTTACAAACACAATTGTTCAAACTCAAAATTTCAAAAGATAATAACATTTTCTTTTATTTAAACACGAGTAGTGTTTAGTGCGATATAAAACGGCGACATTTTGGCTTGAAACATAAATGGGAATGATAATTGATGGTTAAACGAAAATAAGATTATTGTCGACCCAAATCTATCCAAATCCAACCACTCATTGCTCCTTTACATCAAACCTGTAAGACAATGTCTATACACCATAGGCATTTTCAAGCCAGTCTGCCGGGCGATGATCACTAGACAGCCTATATCATTCCTCCCTTTCATTCATTTTCTCTTCTTTTCCATCATTACCCCTCTTTTCTCTCTCTATCTCTCTCTCTCTCTCCCCCTAAACCCTCCCTCTTACTAAATATTTAATAATTTATATTGTCAATTGTTTTTTTGAGAAAATAACCTCAGTGACCAAAAATCTTAGATAATATACGATTTTGATCAATTTTTTTTGGATTTACGAAAATGACCAACAAAATCGCAATGCGATCTCTAATTCGCATTGCGATCTCCACTATCGCAAATTCACGTTGCATTTCGCATTGCGATAGTTGAAAATCGCGTTGCGTTTTTCCATTTCGCGTTGCGATAGTTGGAGATCGCGTTGCGATAGTTGAAATCGCAACGCGATCTCCATCATCGCAAGTGATTTTTCATTTCGCGTTGCGATAGTTGAAAATCGCGTTGCGATTTTCCATTTCGCGTTGCGATAGTCTACAGTCGCGTTGCGATTTTCCGTTTCGCGTTGCGATTTTTCATTTCGTGTTGCGATAGTTGAAAATCACAACGACAACTGTAGACTATCGCAACGCGAAACGGAAAATCGCAACGCGAAATGGAAAATCGCAACGCGATTTTCAACTATCGCAACGCGCAAATGGAAAATCGCAACGCGATTTTCAACTATCGCAACGCGAAACGGAAAATCGCAACGCGACTGTAGACTATCGCAACGCGAAATGGAAAATCGCAACGCGATTTTAAACTATCGCAACGCGAAATGGAAAATCGCAACGCGGCTGTAGACTATCGCAACGCGAAATGGAAAATCGCAACGCGATTTTCAACTATCGCAACGCGAAATGCAACGCGAATTTGCGATAGTGGAGATCGCAATGCGAATTAGAGATCGCATTGCGATTTTATTGGTCATTTTCGCAAATCCAAAAAAAATTGGTCAAAATCGTATATTATCTGATATTTTTGGTCACTGAGGTTATTTTCTCTTGTTTTTTTTATATAATGAAGATAAGATTAATATAAGAAAATTATTGGATTAATGCAAAAGAAACGGTGTTGTTTATATTAGGGTGGCATGCGGGAGAGATGGGGTAACATCGGTAGGCATTATTAGGGGCAGAGCATGCCCTTGAGGAGGGTCACAGACCTCACCGCCGTTCATGTCCCGTGCATGCCACACACCCATCATCACTCTTTCTTCGCCTTTCGATTTTAACCCTATTATGTTAGTCTTGTTTGCATTTAATGTCTGTTGGTTTAAATTTACAACTAATGCAAGAATAAAATATGTCGAAGTATATTCGTACAGAAATTCTAATAGATTGGTGTTAGATTTGATTATTAAGAGTATAAAATTAATCAATAATTAAAATAAATTTATACAGAAATTACATTTGATGACACATATATAATGATAAAGTATGAAGATAATTAAAGATAAGAAGAGAAAAGATCCACTCATTGGCTTAGTTATTAAAGATTTCATGTTATTTAATATTTATTTTAAAAATATAATACGTCTTTACCTAATAAAAATAAATAAAACTTTGTAACTTCATAGAATCTTAATTTTTATGTGATTTGTTAAATGCGGAGAGAATTTATTTTAAGATTAATGGTATTTGAGTTCACGAACGGATGCATGAATTTATATTATAGATACGAATTTAAAAGATTATATTAAGAGTTATAAAATTAAATAATCAATATAAAATACAAAAAATAAACCTAAAACATAAGAGAGATTAAAAAGTCTAAATGCGACCATCCAACATTGTTTGAATTGTTTCTAATTTTTCGAAAAAACTAATATAATTCCTATTTTTTAAATCAACATGACCGATAAACTAAAAAAATCAATTCGGTATTTTAACTAATAAAATCAAATATTGAATGTTACATTAATAAATTTAACACCGACTGCTACTATGTTGATATGACAATTCACAATACTGACATAATGATCTATAATGTTGACATGATGATACACGGTGACTATTTAAATAACGTGATATCTCCATTAATCACAAAATAAAATTAGATTCTCCATGAAAACCTATGTTCTACATTTCTAACAAAAAAGCACGACAGTAGATGCTTGATGGTCATATGGTTTAT